AAAGCGTTCTTTGATATCAAGAACTGCACACAAGCAGAAGCAGGCCACCTCAAAGAAAAATGTCAGTGATGAGAAGCATAAGATTTAAAACCTGAAGTCCTATAGGAAAGTATATTCATAAGGAAAAGAAAGAACATCTATAAACGCTGCTGTCTTTAGGGTTTCTTAGCTTCTGTGGATTGCATATGAGAAAGAGCACGTGCAAAACCAGAGCTGTTCGCCACAGGCCTTCAGAAGAGCTGGGGCAGGTGACGAGGGCTCCCCGTGAGGGCTCTGTGTGCAGGCCCCAAGCTGAGCCCCGCCAGGCGCCCCCAGCGCTTCTCCTCCTCCCTTCCCCTCTCCATTCGGGCAGCTTCAGTTACAGACTGATGAAGGAAGACAGTGGAGGACAGAAATACTTTGGTGGAAATACTCTAGTGGGAATGTAATATGTACATTTGTACTTGCTCCATCCTTGGGTCCTTTCCTCTCCTCCTCCCCACCTGCATTTCTGAGATAAAAAAACTCTTTATTTTTGAGGTTTGTACAACCCTAAGCAACAGCACCAGGCTCATCACAAACAGCAGTGAAAAAAATACTGTCTCCTCCCCTGGGAGGAGGAACAGGCTGATGCTTTACTCCATGTTCTGCTTCACTTACCACATAAAGACGCAAGAAAGAATAGGGAAAACACCCTTGGTTTTTAAAGTCTGAGTGCTCTAACAGAGCTCAACAACCAGTAAAGATTTTTCCTAGCCCCCAGCAAAGTCCATGCTGTTTAGGAACATGCTGAATTATTTCTGCCACTATTTATAGTCCAGTCTATGATTTGTTGCATTAACTGAAGCTCTTTCTGCTCAGCTGATCTGCAATACCTCCTGCGTGCCTGGTGGACTGAGGATGATTCGGTTTAAGTCAGTGTAAAATGGACTGATGGGACTGGTGAGTAGGGAGGGAGACCTTTGCTCTTTGAACAACGCAGAGCCACCGTGCTACCTGAAAGGTCACATGTGATAATGCTCTTAGCAACTAAGTAGATGTTACACAGCTGTCTGATCATCCCTTCGGTTTGGGAAGATGAGTGATCTTTAAACCAGCCCATCACCACAACGAGAAACAAGGCCAGAAGTGTGATGACCTTTAACTTCTACTTTCACAAAAGCAGACAGGATAGAAAGTAGGACGGTAAGAAAAAAATGGGGTAATAAATGGATACCTAGAGAAACATCAACCACCGTTTTGGACATTTTTAAACAGAGCAAAGTACAAGACAAAGTTAAAAATCTAAAAAGCAAAGGCAGGATACAGGTGCCACAAGCATGGGAGATGATGAGCAAAATTCTCTCTCTACTTGAGCTGTAGCATCTCTTATGTCTCAGCAAAACACCCTGCCTAGCAAGCTAAGTAGTATTCTGGTCTCTCTCTGTCCCGTGGAAGCCTTTCCACTTTGCAGGGAATAATTCCCTGAAACAGAAGAGCAACGAGGGGTAAGTTGGCTCCACACACTGGTCACTGAGGCAGTGACCCGAGATGCATAATGTGTGTCACCCAAGCCAAGGGGGCCCAGCACCACCAGAGAGTAGCAACAAAAACCCCTGGGGGAAAAAAAAAAACAGGATTTAAGCCCTATCACTGGAATTTGGGAATGTCACACCCCATGCATTAAGCACTGAAGAGTCCAAACAGGAACAGTTATGAAAACCTCATCCAAAGTCAGCATGGGAAAACTAATCTCTCTATCAAATCTTTCCCCAACCAAAATTCTTTACTATATTCATCATCGGTTTAAGATGATCAAGACTACATTGCCAGCAAATAAACTACTTACATGAAAAACCCTACCTGCCCTTTAAAACAAGCAAACACTTAAATATGCTGTCGGCATCTTCAGTTACAGAACTTTTTGTATTATCCTGCTTAAAATAAAAAACAGCAAATGATGGGATGTGAGTAATTGTAGAAGATGAATTTTATAAGGTGTAAAACCTATATGTCAGTGATCCATCTACTTAAAATCTAGGTGTAACTTTACAAAGTAAAAATCCTTTTATTCCTCTTTTCTAATCAAGAAATGCCATAGTACTCTAAGGTACTTTGAACAGCTGCCGAAATGTTTCAGGGATAAATAGAGTTAAACAGTCCTTCCTTGCTGAAAAAGGCAGCCCATCAAGATGAAGCATCTTATTCAAAAGGAGATCCCATTCATATCATCAAAAATTTCATGCCTCCGAAGAGTATGAATGCTGCATGGCATATTATTCACAAAATAACGGAACTATTCCAAGGAGAAGAGAAAGGGAAAAAAAAAAAACAGCCAGAAAAGGCTTCCCATTCTTACTAGTTGAAAACTGACTCATTGCAACTTTTCCTTTTAACAAATCAACCGCGTATCTTCAAGTATCCCAAAATATCGTGCCTGCCAGCACAGATAATTTAAACATCAAACTATATGCCCCATTTTATGACTAATCAGTTTCCTTGGAGAGTTATTTAAGGTAGTTTTCACTGAACCATGGCTGAAAGCTCTCCCAGGCGGTTCAGTAAACCTGGGGACCAAAAAAAAAAGTAAAAAAATAAAATATAAACCCACGGATGAGAATCATAATAAAGAACTCAGGGATCTTAGTAAGACACCAGCTGTGCCTCAAAAGAGTAACTTTAAATTTAAATATGAATTACTACAATATCCAGCATACAAATGAAAAGTAAAGTTAAAATTCATAACCCTGAAAAGGGATTTACGATTCCTGAAGAAGGCAGGTATTCTCACTTAAAGGTGTCCTCTCTTTTCTCGTTGAGGAAAGCATTTTTCCTTCTCTTCACTCTCCTCTCCTTCTCAAAATAGGAATCAAAAACAATTTTGCTTGGCTCAGTACATGAAAGACAAGACTTCATCAGCACCACTATTTATTCTGCAGATGTGAACACGGCATGCAGTGTGGTCCCAAATCCACCATGCAGGTGCAATGCAGTAAACAGACAGCAGTTCAAATATCCTACTGAACCTGCTTAAAAATTAACGTTTGAACCTCAGGTTTATATATATGTATAGATATATATGCAGTATATATTAAGGTATATGTACTGCATTGTGAAAAAACTGAAAAAAAGCCTTTTCTTTTCCCCCAGGTATACTTCTGTTTACATAAAGAGAAAACAGTACAACTTGAATTAAGATTTTACATTCATTCAGTACTGACAGTTAGTGAAAAAAAGAAAAAACAGGCATAATTTTACCTTTTCGCTATTCTTGTATTTTTCCCAGCTTTTGAGCATCTTTAGCCATTTTGTAGTTCTTTCAATTTCAAGGTGCTTTTGCTGAAATGAAATCACAATTTTTAGTCTTTTCAAGTAGAATACATTTAACATGATTTATTTTAGGCATTTTAAGAATTGAGAAAAAAATATAACAGTATCTCCAGTTTCTGGTTCACTCAGTCTAAAAAAAGCAACAAAGTAACACCATTTAAGTTGAACTGCTCTTATTTATAACAATTCTTCGTATAGTGCTGACAATCAGGGCTTTTTCATTTACTTTTTGGTTTGGGTTTTTTTTTTTTTTGCCATACTGGTTTTTAGGAGGCTTTTAGTGCAAGAATTATAGTAGCTTCTTCCCTA